GGCTGGGAATATCCCTTACTTTCATCCAAAGTGTGCTGGGACTGCCCTGAGATGTACTTGGCTGTCCCCTGGCCCCATGCCCCAGGCCCTCACCACCAGTGCCCGGATGCGGATGCTGTCCTTTTCACCACGCCTGTATAGGTCCTTCAGTAGGGAAACACCATTGGCTGTGATGAATGAGGCCCGCTTGGCCTTGCCAGCTGCATGGATCAGAGCCTCCACAGCCACCAGCTGTTCCTCCTCTTGCTCAGAGGCACACAGAGCAATCACACTCTCCATGACTCCACTCAGCTCTAGGGCCCGGTTGCCAGCATCACACGGGCCCTGCAGGAGGCAGGACACTGTCCGGATGGCCCGTAGCTTCCCAGCCAGCCCATGTCCCTCAAACCAGCTCCTAGGGGCACAGGTGATATCCATCATGCCAAGAACAGCAAAAACAGACTCTCCTTTCCTTGCCCCTCCACTGGCAGGCACTTGCACTACTTGGGCAGAAACAGCAAGAAAAGCTGCCAGTGGGAAGACTAGACATGCCACCTGGACAGTAGTCACCGATTTTATCGGTGCTTTCCTCCAAGCCTTACATGATGACACACCATTTAACCTAGGTTACTCTCACCCACACCACTGTTTAGTTTCTTCCTTGTACTTATTAAATCTGAAATTGTTCTGCTTTTCCATAATTTATCATCAGTCTTCTCCCACACAGCTATAAGCGCCTTAAGGGTAAGGACTATTGTGTCTCACCTCTGTGTTGGAGCAGACATGCAGTGAGTGCTCAGTAAAAAAAGTCACGCTTGATGACATATGTTACATTATTGGAAACTGATTTGGAAAAGAACCTCCCTGGTGAGGTCACTTTTTTGTTTTTTTTAATATGGAATGCTTCATAAATTTGCATGTCATCCTTGTGCAGGGGCCATGCTATTCAAGAAATAGGCTTCAGGAAACCTGTCTAGCTGGCTACTTTTCCCAAGGCACCCTCCCTGCTGAAAGCCATTTCTGTCCCTCCTCAAGGAGATAATGTTCTTGTTGGAACCCCCAACAGTGGGAGATAGGACACACTTTCTTACTTGATGTAGCTTTCACAGAGTCGGTGGAAATTCTCCCTCTCAGCATCACACTTCAGATCATCGAAGAGCTTGCTGAGGAGAATAGAAGCACTCATGCGGCTATTCGCTGTCACTGTGAGCTCCCCAGGAGGGTCCTGTACAGAGCCCCCCACCTCCAGAATCTTTTTCAAACCTGAAAAGACACCGCACTTGGATATTAGAATACTAGTTCTACCCACTACAGGCAAAGGGAAGAAGCATCCTAGGAGGTTTGCAGAGAGGCAGGGCAACCTCCTCAGACAAGAGAGCTCAGACCACGGCGTCAGGGATAGCCCAGGGATCTCACAGATCTCTACAGGAGGCAGCTGTGGTGTCAGACAGGTGAGGCCTCTATGCCAGCCCTGCACGAGTGGCTGAATATTCTGGGACTTGGAGGTTCCATGGTAATACTAAGGGGTAAGTGACACCCTACCTCTCAGGATCAGTGTGACAACAAAAGGAGCTGAGACATATGCAAGGACCCAGAAGATGTGCCCATGCAGGGCCTCTGTGAAGGTCTTCTTATTCATGTTTTAGGGGAGAAGCAAAATGTAAATTGATATATTGAACTTAAATTATTTTTTCTGAGTATAGAAATAATACATGCTCACCAAACAAACTTCAGACATAGAAAGCCAGGCTGGCCTCCCTGTTACTTGCCTGCAGGCCAGTTCAATGTGTACAAATATGCACACCCGTGACGGAAAGGTCTGGCTCTGAGCTCTCCAAGAGTACCACATGAGCCATAGTACACACTTCCACACAGATACCCAAGGGCACCACATAGGCCACGGGACACACCTCCACACAGACACTGGCCGGGCACCACCCAGGCCAGGGGACCCACTTCCACACAGATACTGGCTGGGCACCACACAGACCACGAGATGTACCTCCACATAGACATCAACTGGGCACCACGCAGGCCACGGGACTCACCTCCATATAGACACTGGCTGGGCATAGCAGCTACTTTCTTATCACTCCTAAGGACAAGCAGGCTTCAGTCACCCAAGTCAGTTTTCAGAAACTATATTACCTACCTTGGTCAATGACCCAGAGGGTGAGGCTATTGTTGGGGTCCTTAAAAGACTTCCGAGGCACCTCTTTAATCAGGAGGGTCAGGGCATTGTCTCGGCCTTGGCTAGAAACCCCCACCTCAGTCAGTAGTTCTAAGAGATTACTGATGAGGACCTTCAGCTCCCGGGCAGGATCTGGCAACAGGAAGACAGGAATGGCTGGGCTCCAGAATGGTCTAGCCTTATTTGACCCTTGAACTTCCCTAGTGAGCCAGGGAGACACAGAGGAGCAGAAGCCTGCATCCTGGACTCTGGACTGAGTTCCAGCCTTCCGAGTACCTTGGCTGCTGAGAATCCAGATTAAAAGACTGGCACCAGGGTGGCACCTGTGGCTCAATGGGTAGGGCACTGGCCCCATATACTGAGGGTGGCAGGTTCAAGCCCAGTCCCAGCCAAACTGCAACAGAAAATTAGCTGGGCATTCTGGCAGGTGCCTGTGGTCCCAGCTACTCGGGAGGCTGAGGCAAGAGAATCACCTAAGCCCAGGAGTTGGAGGTTGCTGTGAGCTGTGTGAAGCCACGGCACTCTACTGAGGGCAATAAAGTAAGACTCTGTCTCTACAAAAAAAAAACAAAAAAAAACAAAAACACTGGCACCAAGCCATATCCCTGAATAACCTGCAGCAGCAAGTCTGGCTCCAAAAGAAATAGCCTGGCTGGTTCAGCCCCACTCCTTCCACATCTGAGGACCACAGACCTGCTTCCACTCACCCACAATGATGGCGCCCTCTTTGCCTCGGAAGCCTTTCTTGATGCCTTCCTTGAGGGCATCAAATATAACCTGCAGCAGGTGGCAGGCAGCCAGGGACACAGCCTGGTTTTCCACACCCAGGATGGAGACTACTCGCCGAGTTCCCAGCACACTCAGGGTTGCCACTGTCTGGGGTGGGAGAGAAGTGGACAGAAGCCCCCGGTTGGTGAAGAGCAGCCACAGAGATCCCAACTCTGAGTCAGAGAGTGCAGCCAGAGGTGAGAGAACGTTTGGGTGAAAGGACCAACTCCAGGTGAAAATACAACAGATGTATCTGGTGGTGGGACACAGGGTAACCTGGGATAACTCTGTTAGAAAGGCTTCCTAAAGAAGACATTCCAGGCTTGGCGCCTGTGGCTCAAGTGGCTAAGGCGCCAGCCACATACACCTGAGCTGGCGGGTTCAAATC